TAGATAGGTATCCAAGTAAATAGATAGATTTTGGACCAGGGCCAGGCATATATTCATATATATATTTTTCAAAGTGCAGGACTAATTAGTGTTTTATAAATACACTCATTCGTATACAATGAGTTGCTGCTTTACAATGGTATGTTAGTTTCTGTTGTACAGTAAAGTGAATCAGTCACACATTCATTGGTATACAATCTTAAATAAAATCATACTCACATAGATCAACTATGGTCTCGAAGTCCTTGAAATACCCAATCTGGAAAGAGACAAATGTGCAGCCTTCCTTGACTCTAAGACCAATGCTTGAGCTTCTCCAGCCATTGCTGTATGCCATTCACATGCTTCCTGGGATGATGATTCATTTAATTGTTGATACACATCCTAACATACATACACACACACTCCTGCACACCCATAATACACACTCAGGAAATTATCTCCTGTTAACTTGTTTTTTAGAACAATGACCCTTTGCCTTGTGAGGACCCAAGATGGATGTTTCCAAGTAAATCTAGTTCTGCTCCTTTAAGAAAGGTTCTCAGGTTTCTCTGGCTGGCTGGAGAGAGGGGAGGCAAGGGCTGTAATACCAGGATGTGTCTTGTATGTGACTACAATGTGTGGCAGCTGAGGTCCTTTGTGAAAGCACAGGGCCACAGACTTCAGTTAAGTTCCTTGACTGAACCGGACTCTGGCTAATGAAGCAACAAATTCTCTGGCAGGAGCAGCCTCTCTCAGCGTGGTTGGGTGATCCAGCATCCCATGGAGCACAGTCCTCCAGCCCTCAGTCTCCCCTTTATTTCTGATTAGTGCAGTTTAGCCTGGACAGGCTTCCTTGGCATTATAATCTTTATTTTCCTTTCAGGGAGTCTTGGCAGGAATCTCAGCCACCTGCCCAGGGCAAAGCCCAGGGTCCTTCCTGTTGTGTGCCTGCCTGTGTGTTGGCGGGGCTCTTCCCATCTCCTATTTATTCTGTCACTGTCATTCTGGAGCCCACAGCTCACACAGGGTGAGAGAGATACATGGTTGTTTACCTGGTCTCCTTTGAGTGGCCATGAAAGCTGCTATTAATCCCCAGCAGCAGCTAAACACTTGCACGAATTCTTCAGGTGCCTTTTAGGGCTCAGAGTCCTTCATTCTGCAAGAAGGCTTAAGGGTAAAGAGGGAAATACCCCTTAGAGAGAAAAGCCTTTGACCTAAGTTTATTTACAAAAGGTACACAAGGGGCTTCTCAGGTGGCTCAGTGGGTGAAGAATCTGCCTGCCAATGCAGGAGACTGGGTCAGGAAGATCCCCTGGAGGAGGCCATGGCCACCCACCCCAGTATTCTTGCCTGGGGAATCTTATGGACAGAGGAGCCTGGCGGGCTACAGTCCCTGGGATCGCAAAGAAGCTGAAACAACTGAGCGATTAAACAACAACACAAGGATGGTGCTGCTTCTCTGGAGAAGTCAGGATCCAGTGACTATGCCCAGACAGTCGTCCAGAGACAGGAGGTGCACCCTGAACGGGGTGACACCAGGAGCCGCCTTGTTGCTCAAAGTTGAGGAAATGCAGGAAGGTGATTTCAGACCAGAGCCAGGCTGGCACTCTTTCCCAATGAGGGAGCAACACAGTGGTGACACAGAAGCGAGCAATGCAGGCAAAGTGGGTTTCCTGGTGGCTCAGAATCTGCCTGCAATGTGGGAGACCTGGGTTTGATCCTGGATCTGGAAGATCCCCTGGAGAAGGGAGTGGGCAGGGACTGTCTGCCAGAGTGCTGGAGACAGCCTCCTCCCTTCAAAGGTTTTTGAAAAGATGATCTCTAAGTGTCTGACCTTGTCTAAGACTTGACAAGAATCCCTGATGCCTATCTGGGAACTTGTTGATTTATAGAGGGTGAGGGAGAAGAATGGAAGTCTTGAGGTTCTGAAAAGAAACTGGGTGTCCTGGGGACAGGAGTGACAAATGCATGTGGGAGGGGATTCTGGGCCCCGAGACCAAGCTTTGCCCTCTGCAGACTGAGGGGAGAGGCTTGGAGGTAGATCTCAGGTTCTCCTACTGCTGATTCAGTGAAGACTTGGGATAACATGGGGGGTGAGCTGGGTTTAGCAAGGAAAGCTAGGAGACAATGCCAAAGAACTATAGTGTGGGTATATTTTATTTACAAGCAAGCATCAGTGTCAGCGAACCTATAATCTAGCACTCAAAAATCGCTTCACCAGTATCTCCCAACAGCGGCACCAGCTATTATGCTTCTGTCTTTCAGGAAGAAACTGATCACTTGCATTTCCCAACAGACCAGCCCTAATGCCCATCCATTGAGTGGAGCACAGGACAGCTGGGCATTCCTCTCCGCCACTCAGGTGACTTACGAATGACACTGAAAATCTCCCAAACTGCTACCAATTTGCTGACATGCAAATGACATATATATGAGTGGTTTCAAGTATCAGGGGTTTGAGGTGAGGTTTCCACTATGCTCCCATGATCTCCTCTCTCCTGGGGAGGAAGGTACACACAGGGAGAAATAATCACATGAGAGCCAGGTAGCTGCTTTTATTGAGAGCTTGCACACCCAGGTGGGAGTGACGTCAGAGAGCCAAGAGACACAGGCACCAAGGCCAAGTGAGACATGCTGTTCGTGCCCGTAATCTGAATCTTAAAGAGAGTAGGCACAAGTCACATGGCAAAGGATTATGCTTTTTGAGTACTTAGCCTTACAGTGAACAGAATAGGGTAAAAAACTCAAATTAAAGTAGCTATTAACTATTATGATTGATAATCTGAATTAGGATCACGCTTTTTTAGAGAAGGCAAATATTTTCCTAAATCTACTTTTATATTGAGAAGCTCTTCCTTTTCACCAAATACATTTAACTTTCAAAAGCATGCTTTCAAAAGGCAGAGGAGAAATCATAGGTGTGACCAGTGATTATACCAGTCTAATTATACCCATTCGATGAGGCCAAGGGGTCTGATTTATTTTGGGAAATGAAATAAATTGATTTATTTTGGGAAACATGATGAAACAGTGGGATACACCTAGATTTATAATGCAATCGATATTTGTTTCTGTTGCTTTATCTTTAGCAGAGGCATCTCAAACCATCTACAGAGCTTTCAGTGCTCTGAAACAAACACATGAGACTTGGAGTCAGGAGGCACAGCTTTTGGGCTCATCAACCCTGCCACCCTAGGAACTCTATGTGATCCGGTTAACGTATCTGTGACATGGGTATAGTAACACCAGCTTTGCCAGGTTGCAGCCAGGGTCAGTATAGACCTTCTCTCTGAGGCCTGGGACATCAGAAATAGGGTGCTCAACTACTACATATAAAACATCGCCAACAAGGACCTACTGTATAGCACAGGGAGCTGTACTCAATATTTTGTAAAAAAAAAAAAAAAAAACTACAAGAGAAAAGAATCTGACAAAAAAAGGTACATATGTATGTACAACTGAATCACTTTGCTCTACACCTGAAACTAGCACAACATCGTACATCAGCTATACTTCAATAAAAAATGGAAGATAAAGAAATAGGGTATTCAATAATTTACCTGCAACCGAACTAAACAAAGTTTCAACTGAATCAGAAGTTTCCTTTCTAGCTTCCATTTTCCTCATTTAGAAAGTAAGCGAACTGGCCAACTTAGGTGTCTTTCATTTCTGTTATTCTTTGTTATGATAATAGTTAAGAAATTCAGGTAAAAACACTGATGTAGCCAATGCTAAAATACAGTTCATAATAAAAAAATCTTGATTGAGTAGTAATTTTTGTTCAGTCCCACAGTCGTGTTTGACTCATTTCAACCCCATGGATGCAGTACACCAGGGCTCCCTGTCCTTCACTATTTCCTGGAGTTTGCTCAAATTCATGTCCATTGAATCAAAGATGTCATCCAACCATCTCATCCTCTGTCCTTCCCTTCTCCTCCTGCCTTCAATCTTTCCCAGCATCAGGGTCTTTTCCAATGAGTCGGCCTTTTGCATCAGGTGGCCAAAGTACTGGAGCTTCAACTTCAGCATCAGTCCTTTCAATGAATATTCAGGGTTGATTTCCTTAAGGATTGACTGGTTTGATCTCCTTACGGTCCAAGGGACTCTCAAGAGTTTTCTCCAGCACTATAGTTTGAAAGCATCACATCTTTGGTGCTCAGCCTTCTTTGTGGTCCAACTCTCACACCCATACATGACTACAGGAAAAATCATAGCTTTGACTAATATGGACCTTTGTAAGCAAAGTGATGTCTCTGCTTTTTAATACACTGTCTAGGTCTGTCATTGCTTTCCTTCTAAGGAGCAATCATCTTTTAATTTCATGGCTGCAGTCACCATCCACAGAGATTTTGGAGCCCAAGAAAATAAAGCCTGTCACTGTTTCCTTTTTTTCCCCATCTATTTGCCATGAAGTGATGGGACCAGATGCCATGATCTTCATTTTTTGAATGTGAAGTTTTAAAAAATCGAGTGACATTAAAAATGAGAACAAGAACTCATGTATAAGAGATCCAAAAGTAAGATTTCTTTCAACCCAAGAGACCAATCTGGAATATACAGCTCTGAGTAATTCGCACACTGCTTCATGAGGACGGAGGTAGAAGGTATTCATCAGAGAGTTGTTGGCAGTATCTGGGAGATGGAAGCCATGTAGAGATTCACCACTGGAGGGAATGCCTCAGTGAAATGATTAGATACCAACTCCAGAGTACTGGTTAGGAGTAGTCAGAAATAGTCAACTAATTATACATGTTCAGTCACTTCTGCTGCTGCCAAGTCGCTTCAGTCGTTTCTGACTCTGTGTGACCCCATAGACAGCAGCCCACCAGGCTCCGCCGTCCCTCGGATTCTCCAGGCAAGAACACTGGAGTGGGTTGCCATTTCCTTCTCCGATGCATGAAAGTAAAAAGTGAAAGTGAAGTCACTCAGTCGTGTCCGACGCTTCACAACCCCATGGACTGCAGCCTAACAGGCTCCTCTGTCCATGGGATTTTCTAGGCAAGAGTACTGGAAGAGGCGAGTCGGAATCTGTTTGGAGAGGCCTCAAGTTTTCTCCGTGTTGCGGACAACAATGGACACCCAGAAGGACGTTCAACCCCCAAAGCAGCAGCCAATGATATATATCTGTGGAGAATGTCACACAGAAAATGAAATAAAATCAAGGGATCCAATCCGATGCAGAGAATGTGGATACAGAATAATGTACAAGAAAAGGACTAAAAGATTGGTGGGTTTTGATGCTCAGTGAAACATGAAATTCAGAGGAATATCTTCATTTTTATTTGGATTTGTTGTTAATGTTGTATAGTTTTTGATTAGTGTACTTTATAAATACAATTATACACATATGATTTCATTTTAAAAAACCATATTGTATTTAGATACCTATTAATAGCTTATATAAAGATATTTTTTGTTCAGTTAAAAAAAAAAAAAAAGAGTACTGGAGTAGGGTACCATTGCTTTCTCCATCAGTCACTTCAGTCGTGTCCAAATCTTTGCAACCCCAGGGACTGTAGCCCACCAGGCTCCTCTGTCCATGAGATTTTCCAGGCAAGGATACTGGAGTGGGTTGCCATTTTCTGCTCTAGGAATCTTCCTAACTCAGGGATTGAATCCATGTCTCTTGCATCTCCTACACTGCAGGCTGATTCTTTTACTGCTGAGCCACCAGGGGAGCCACTAGTTATATACATAGTAACAAGAATGCATCTTAAAAATACAATGCTGAGTTAAATAGCTCAGATGGTAAAGAAGCTACCTTCAATGCAGGAAACCAGGGTTCAATCCCTGGGTTGGGAAGATCCCCTGGAGAAGGAAATGGCAATACACTCCAATATTCTTGCTTAGAGAATTCCATGGACAGAGGAGCCTGGTGGGCTACAGTCCATGGGGTTGCAAAGAGTTGGACACTGCTGAGGGACTAACAAACACAAAAAGCTAAAGAAAAGAATGAACCATACAGTGCAATACCACAACTGTGACTTCAAGATGCCAATTCTCCTAAAATAAAATCACATACTTACAAAGTAAATTCAAGAAGAACTATCAAATGCATTAGCATAGCTGTTTAGGAAGGTGGGCAAAGTGAGTTGGGAATGGAAATTTTTCAAAAGGAGAAGTGAATCAATATAAGAAAAAAATATAGTAAGAACAACAAAAGCAAAGCTAAGAGCTTTGCCCACAGTCAGGGACCCACCCACGCTCAGGACATTACATCTGTGTTCTGGTAGAACTCAGAACACACAGAGAAAATAGGAAGCATGTCCTAATTAGGGCCACAATCAGAATGTAGTGACAATCGGTTTAGATTTTGTGTAGAGAGTGTCCAGATAGAAAACAAGAAGACTTGGATCGCTGTCATGGTGCTGGGCCTCTTCAGGTCTGCTCTGCTCCCATCTCCACCTGCTCTGAGCCCTGAGGCTGGCATCTATAAACAGTATTCACCTGGCTCCCTTGCCCACTGGCACCTTAATGGTTTAGGCCAATAGAAGAAGCTGACAGGAGGGAGCAGGTTGGAACAGAGAGAGAGATTGGGGTTTTGGTTTCCCTCGACTCCTACCCACCAGGCTTCTGAGTGCTTGTACATCTTGCCTGAAAGCCACAGCTCTAACGGGTCAGATCTCTCCTATAGCTTCAGCTCCGGCCGGTGCTGGTGACTAGTCCCATCTCTTGTTCCATTTAGACCTAGGAGTGTGTACAGCCTCCTACGGTGGATGGTCCAGGTTCTTCAGCCTCCTTACCTCTGTCCATGCATTTGCAAATAGTTCCTCCCTTAAACTCTCAGCCAGGGGTCCCCTGGTGGCTCAGTGGTAAAGAATCCGTCTGCCAATACAGGAGACACAGGTTTGATCCTGATCCAGGAAAATCCTACATGCCGTGGAGCAGCAAAGCCCAGAAAGCCCACGTGCCACAACTATACGGCCTGTGCTCTAGAGTCTGAGAGGAACAGCTGCTGAAGCCTGCGTGTCCTAGAACCCCTCTGCAAGAAGAGAAGCCCGCGCAGTGCAAATAGAGAGTAGCTAGACCCTGCTCACCGCAACTAGAGAGAGCCCAAGCACAGCAACAAAGACCTAGCACAGCAAAAAATAAATAAATAAAATTATAAAAAAATAAACTCTCAGTTAAGATCCTGTCTTATACACTGATTGTATCAGGGCTGGTTAAATAGGACTCAGGGTGTGGATTGCTCAGCCTCCTTGCTGGGGAAAATGAGACGCTGGTAATTTGTGCCATGTGTTGGTGTCAATTACCTAAATTATTACTGGTGGTAGCATGGGAGAGTGCTGGTGGAGGCCAAGACCTTGGGAGATCAAAGGTTTGAGATACTTAGTCACTATGGCAACAACCGAGATTTCAGAGAAGTCGTATGGGCAGCTTGCATCTGGGGGCACTGGAGAATATATACAGAGAAAAGGACAAATGACAAATTGCAAGACTTGAATGTCCTTGAAAGGGCACAGGGGTAAAATCAGAAAGCCCCTGTGGTCATTCTGAATGAGTGTTTAATGCCCAGTAATAGCAGCTGAGGGTTAAGCTCAGGGCCTGATTGTAAGGGCTGTGGACTTGCAGAGCCAAAGACTGGTGTCTTTCTTCTGGAAAAGCAAAAGGCTGGGGCTTAGAGAGAGACCCCAAAGCATGGGATGGGAAGTTTGAATGGACACAGCAGCATCTGACAACACCCTTTGAAGACTCCCTGCTGTCCCTGTGTGAGGGGAAGGCTTCCCATGCATAAATCCATTTCATTAACTTCACCCAGGCAAAAGATGAATTCTTAGGACTTCCTACTATCTCTTTGCCTCCAGGCTGCTCAGGACAGTCAGAATTTCTGTTCAGATAGAAGTAGAAGACTTGCTGCAAAAGGGGCTAGCCTGTTGTTGTAGTTAGCCTTGGTCAACAATCCGCCCGGAAACTCAGTGACTTGAACTAACCACTATACATTACCTCTCACATCACTCCAGTTTGGTTAGGGCTCAACCTGGCAGTTCTTTGGCTGGGAGCTTACCTGGATGTGGAACATTCATGATGGTTTGGGATCTCCTTGCACATGAACCCTCCAGCAGTAGTGGGTCTTCTTCCATGGTAAGTGACTTTGAGGTGGTTCAGATGTTAAAGAATCTGCCTGCAATGCAGGAGACCCAGATTCAATCCCTGGGTTGGGAAGATCCCCTGAAGAAGGGAATGGCTACCCACTCCAGTATTCTTGCTGGGAGAATTCCACAGATAGAGGAACCTGGTGGGCTACAGTTCATGGGGTTGAAAACAGTCTGACATGACTGAGTGACTTTCACTTTGGGCTTCCCAGGTGGTGATAGTGGTAAAGAACCCTCCTGCAATGCAGGAGATGTAAGAGACTCTGGTTCAATCCCTGGGTTGGGAAGATCCTCTGAAGGAGGGTGTGGAAATCCACTCCAGTATTCTTGCCTGGAAAATCCCATGGACGGAGGATCCTGATGGGTTACAGTCCATGAGGTCACAAAAGACTCTGAAACAACTTAGCATGCAAGTGGCTTTGAAGAAGATGTGGTCATAGGGGAAGGCAGAATTTGCATATTTCCTGAGGTCTAGATTCCGACATTATATAATATTACTTCTACCACATCCAGATGTCCAAAACAGATCACAGGGTCAGCCCAATATTCAAGGGAAGGAATGACCATTTTCTTTATTTATGAATAAATATGAATAAAGGGCTGAAGTGTGTGTGTGTGTGCATACTCAGTCACTCAGTCGCGTCCAACTCTTTGTGATCCCCTGAACTGTAGCCCACCAGGCTCCTCTGTTCATGGAATTTTGTCTGTCCCAAATTTATATGTTGAAGTCCTAATCCCTAGAATTCCTGATTATGTCTGTATTTGAAGATAGGGTTATTAAATCAGTAATCAAGATTAAATGATGTCACTAAGTTGTACCCTAATCTAAGATGATTGGTATTCTTACAAGAAAAAGCTGTTAGGACACAGACATGTACAGAGGGAGGACCATGTGAAGACTTAGGGAGAAGATGACCATCTACGAGTCAAAGAGAAACCTTATAGAAAATCGACATTGTCAATGTCCTTGTATTGGGCTTCCAACCTTAAGAACTCCAAGGAAATAAATTTTTGTTGTTTAAGCCACAGTCTATTGAACTTTATGTGGCAGTCCTATAGCACACTAATAAAAATAACAAAGTATTTGCAGCCATCTTTACCAGATCTATAAACTCCTAGATTTGCAGTGTCTTGCTGACAGTTATCAACAGAGGTCTAGAGATTATGCGAGTTGATTCTAAGAGTAAAGATCAAGTAATAGATCACAGTATATGATGAAATCAGAGCAAATTTCTCAATGGAGAATATTCATCTAAGATTTGGGATTAATGTATTGATATAAATACAGCTGGGATTGGCATGAACAGTCTACTAGGTTTGGTAATTGAAGACTTTATTCAATAGAGTCAAAGAGATTTGAATGCTAGAACTTTCCTGACAAAAAGGAGGGTATTCTTGAAAAGTTCTGTGATGACTGTGCTTTGCAGACCCATGATGACAGTGGGAGATGTTACAAGAAAATTGGTCTCACAAATTTCAGGGGGAATAATAGGATCCAGGAGTTGTAGAGGCCTGTGGTGCAACTTAATTGTCAGAGATAAGTGAGTGCAATTCTAAAATTAAGCTCCAGGGAGAGAGTGGCAATCAGAGTGTTTTGACCCACTGGAAACTGTGGTGATGGCTAATTGATCAATGGGTACCTAGTAATGAAATAGACATGCAATCTTGACTTATAGGTGGAAAACTTTTACCTTTAGTGCATACCAATCTGACTCAAGTTACCATAGTGAGGATTCATGGTCTTGCTTCCAGCTCCCAGATCCAGGATGGCTCAACTATCCATGGCCAATCCACTGAAGGGGAGATCAGGTCTCCTTGAGAGAAGACTCTTGGGACGCCCACTTACTTGATGAATCTTTCCCCAGTTTCTTCAGAGGGACCTGTTGCCATTTTTTAGGGTGAAAGTGAACAAGGAATGGGAAGTATCTGGATGTCCCAGAAATTATTGGCTGCAAGCCGATATCTATTCCTCAGAGTCATGTGCTTAGTTGCTAAGTCATGTCTGACTCTTTGCGACACCAGGGACTGCCACCCACCAGGCTCCTCTCTCCGTGGGATTTCCCAGGCAAGGATACTGGAGTGGGTTGTCATTTCCTTCTCCAGGGGGTCTTCCCAACCCAGGGCTCGAATCCCTGGCTCCTGCATTGCAGACGGGTGCTTCACCACTGAGCCAGCAGGGAAGCCTCAGAGACATGACATATAATAATGTGGTCCTGTCATGCAAACTAGAGGTTTTTGGAAGTCATATGATGAATTAAAAGCCTTGGCATGAATCTAATTCATAGGGACTAAGGATCTGTGGACCTACACTGTGGTTATATTCCCAGACCA